AAGCTGGCCATACTTGATGCCATTTTCTCCTGCAACCACAAACCGCTCAATTCCCCCATCAACACACTCCGTGATGACGGGAAATCCCTCCTGTGGAGCCAGTGATTCTTGCTAGTGGCTATAATAACCTCTAGCAATAGTCGCATGTAAAATCCAGCAGGCTAATTGTACCCAAGTTGATCTATTATTATTATTATTATACAGTATAAAGCGCCAATAGTTCGCTCAGCGCTGTACATTACAAAGGGGGACAGAACAATACCAATACAATGCAAAATATGAGGGGATTGAGGGCCCTGCTCTTTGGAGTTTACAATCTAGGAGGGAGGGGATGGTGGCACAGGAGGAGATAGCTGTGGGGGATGGAGTGGTAGGAAGAGTGGAGGAGGTTAGTCAAGTTAGCAGGGTAGGCTTCCCTGAAGAGATGGGTTTTCAGGGTGCGCCTAAAGGAGAGGAGAGTAGGTGATAATCTGATGGGTTGGAGCAGGGAGTTCCAGAGGATGGGTGACACCTGGAGAAGTCCTGGAGGCAGGCATGGGAGGAGGAGACCAGGGAACTAGAGAGAAGGAGGTCTTGTGAGGAGCGGAGTGTGCGTGCTGGGCGGTACTTGGATATTAGGTCAGTGATGTAGTACGGGGCAGTATGGTGGACAGCTTTGTACGTCAATGTTAGGATTTTGAATTTGATCCGTTGCGCAATCGGAAGCCAGTGGAGGGATTGGCAGAGGGGGGGGCGGAATCAGAGCGGTTGGAAAGGTGAATGAGTCTGGCAGCCGTATTCAGGATCGACTGAAGCGGGGATAGCCAGCGGCGAGGCAGGACAGTGAGGAGGGAGTTGCAGTAGTCGAGTCGTGATATGATGAGGGAGTGGATGAGCTGTTTAGTGGTTTCTGGGGTTAGGAACCTGCGTATTTTGGCGATGTTGCGGAGGTGGAGTCTGCATGAGTTTGTTAAAGATTGGACTTGGGGCTGGAAGGATAGGTTGGAGTCCAGAATGACACCAAGTACTCTGGCCTGCCAATTGATCAACTTGGGTAGATTCAGCCTGCCCATACAAGGTTCGAATCTGAGCTGGTCCCTGCCGAACCTTCAAAGATTTGAACGTTCTATGGCCGGCTTTAGTCACATCCATTACATGAAGCAGTGTTTCTCAACTTTTTTTTTTTTTCAGTCAAGGCACCCTTTAAAATTTGAACAATCTCAATATATATCTGTGTCCAGGGCCAGTCACTCACATCTGTTTGTTTCATGAGAGATTACATGCAAGTGGCTGCATTTTAGCTGCGAGCACTGGCAGCCTCCTATTGCTTTCAATGGGGTTGTCCCTTGCAACTAATTCCGGGAACCCCCGCTGGGGTTCTTGCATGTAATTGGAATGTGGGTGCGTTTGCAGGTGCAAATGCTCTCTAAAAAATACACTGCTCAAAAAAATTAAAGGGACACTTTGAAAACACATCAGATCTCATTGGGGAAAAATGATCATGTTGGTTATCTATACTGATATGGACTGGGTAATGTGTTAGGCATGTAAGGATGCCCCAATGATTGATGAAAATTAAAATTATCAACTTACAGAGGTCTGCATTCAAAGACACCCTGAAAATCAACTGGATAAAATTATGCAGCAGGCTAATCCATTTTGCTGAAATTGCATTGCAGCAACTCAAAATGGTACTTGTATGCATGCCTGAAAATGTCGGGGCATGCTTCTAATGAGACGCTGGATGGTGTCCTGGGGAATTTCCTCTCAGATCTGGAGCAGGACATCACTGAGCTCCTGGACAGTCTGATGTGCAACCTGGAGGCATCGGATGGACTGAAACATGATATCCCAGAGGGTGTTCTATTGGACTTAGGTCAGGCAAGTGTGGGGGCCATTCAATGGTATCAATTCCTTCATCCTCCATGAACTACCTGAATACTCTCTTCACATGAGGCTGGGCATTGTCGTGCACCAGGAGGAACCCAGGACCCATTGCACCAGCGTACGGTCTGACAATGGGTCCAAGGATTTCATCCCGATACCTAATGGCAGTCAGGGTGCCATTGTCTAGCCTGTAGAGGTCTGTGCGTCCCTCCATGGATATGCCTCCCCAGACCATCACTGATCCACTGCCAAAGCGGTCATGCTGTACGATGTTGCAGGCAGCATAATGTTCTCCATGACTTCTCCAGACCCTTTTTACATCTGTCACTTTGCTCAGGGTGAACCTGCTCTCATCTATGAAAAGCACAGGGTGCCAGTGGCGGACCTGCCAATTCTGGTGTTCAATGGCAAATGCCAATCGAGCTCTATGGTGCCAGGCAGTAAGAACAGGGCCTACTAAGGCTGTCAGGCCCTCAGGCTACCCTCATGAAGTCTGTTTTCTGATTGGTCAGAGACATTCACACCAGTGCCCGGCTGGAGGTAATTTTTTTTAAGGCTCTGGCAGTGCTCGTCCTGTTCCTCCTTGCAGATACTGGTCCTGCTGATGGGTTAAGGACCTTCTATGGCCCTGTCCAGCTCTCCTAGAGTAACTTCTTGCCTCATGAAATCTCCTGTGCTGGTAGATGCAGAAAACATTCTGGCAATGGCATGTATTGATGTGCCATCCTGGAGGAGTTGGACTGCCTGTGCAACCTCTGTAGGGTCCAGATATCGCCTCATGCTACCAGTAGTGACACTGCCCCTAGCCAAATGCAAAACTAGTGAAAAAACAGAAAAGATGGGTAGGTAAAAAAATGTCATTGGCCTCCACCTGTAAAACCATTCCTGTTTTGGGGGTCATCTCATTGTTGCCCATCTAGTGCACCTGTCAATTTCATTAATACCAAAGCAGCTGAAACTGATTACCAACCCCCTCTGCTACTTAACTGACCAGATCAATATCTCAGGATTTTGACTTGATGCTATACTCTGATTATAAAGTATTCCTTTACTTTTTTTTTGAACAGTGTACTCGATCTTGTCAGAAGTTTAGGGCTGTCTCGTGTCCAAGGCTCACTTCTTGTCTAATCTTAAGAGGAATTGGCCCTCCCAGTCCTTCTCTTGAAACTACATGAGGATTAGTTTTTTTACATTATGGGGAATAGTATAACGGGTGGGTCTTGAGTAGCTTGGTAGGAGAAAACTGGGCATGGTTGACAAACTCGGGCAACCGTCTTTTCAATTCACAGCCAGGGATAGGAGCAGAGTGAACGTCTGTGAGATCAGAAGATATTTTTCTGTACTTGCAGAGTCTTTTAAATGATAAAACATGGGGAAGTGTAGCTGTATCACCAGGATGTACTGCATATGTTTTTTGATACTCTGCTCGGTGAAGTTTCTAGCGTGGGAACCTGCATGCATTGATCCTAGCTGTGCCATAGTTTGAATGGATAAGGTTCAGCTTATATGTTACTTAAAGATACAATGTCAAACTTTTGGTTTTAATTTGTTTGTTTTATGACCTTGTGAATATGCTGACCAGCGCAGATTCAATTTAATATGTAACACATTTATCAGTGCACATGGTGCGTAAAAAGATAATGTACTGATTGTAAAAGCATAGTATCGTTTTAAACATTACTTTTATTGTAGGGCAAGTTTCATTGAAGCTCTCATGCTTTCTGCCTGTTGAAACAACTGATAAACCGCATGATACTGTTTTAAACTGTAATAAACTGACAGTAAATGAAAAAGCGTTCCCAGACATGAATGCAATCACATGTGCTACTATGACAGCCTTAACTTTTATTAGGAGACACCGAACATTCTAGTTTCAGACTCAGAAGCTATTTTGGAGGAAACTAAATTTTGTTTGGCAGGAACAGCACAGGCTATTCCCATAGTTACATATAGGGGGAGATTTACTAAAGCCTGGTACACGTGGGCCAAAAATCGGCTGGTATTGAACGGTTCAACAGAAATCGGCCAACATTCTGCCCATGTGTACAGCAGTTTGTCTGACAGAAGCTGGCCATTTTGTCTGTTCAAATGGGCGTACGGGAAAAGCAGCAGCTGATCAGCGCTCGCAGCCAATGGCTGCGAGCACTGACCAGTGTGTTCTGTCGGGGGGTAGTCCCCCTGTTGAACACAGTAGCTCAGCAGGGAGATTGCTGTACTCACATTACATAGTAAAGTGTACTCCTCTTGTTCAGCCTGCTGGGTGTGTACCAGACTTAAAACTGGAGTTCTCAGAATCTGGTTGAGTTGTACATAGTTGCCAGTCAGCTTTTTAACTTCAGCTTGTTCAGTTAAGCTTTGACAATTAATAGAAAAAAAAAAATTTGCAGCAGTTGTCCTATAATGTAATTGTTTAGTACGCAACTTTTGAGATCCAATCACAACACTTCATGCAAATTATCCATGGGGGTGAGCACAACGTTTTCTTTTAAATAATAGAACAAATGATTTTCGTTTAATCACTACAGTATTTGTCCATTAAAAATTGAGTGACCAAGACCGCGTATGCTTGGAAACAAAAGAATATAACACATCATCATGAGAACTTCTATTCTGGACTATTATTCATCAGATATTCTCATGTGTGCCAGGCTTAAAGGTAAACTTATCAAGTGCACTAAGCTTGTTTTAGAAGCCCCTAAAAGTTCCTCCAGATCTGCTATTTGCATTAAATTGCAGATATAGTAAACATGTTTTATTACATCCTAAAAGATCACATTTTCTTATCACTGGCAAAAACAAACATTGATTTGACTTTGCTGACCATTAGAAAATTGAATGTAGAGAAAATTTAGTTATATGGCTGGCTTCACTGAGAAAAGCATGGTGTGGAACAGTGAGGTCCTGCTGACATTTGAGGATTCTTGTAGCCACGTGTGTGTGTGTGTGTGTGTGTGGTTTTTTTTTTTTTTTTTTTTTTCTTTTTTGGAAGGGGGTTAATTATTGCATAACACCTTGGTGACTGAACTTCTGCTTTTAGTTTTTTTCACTTTTAAGAACAACACTTATGTCTTGGATGCCTGCCAGCATTGAATAAAATAAATCTACTCGACTGAATTCCTTAACTCTTTCTTCAGATTCCATGTTGGTCTCTATCGTTGGCATGGCCCTGTATACAGGATATATATTTATGCCTCAGCACATCCTTGCAATTTTGCACTACTTTGAGATTGTTCAATGACACAGAAGAGCCTTGCTTGGCAAGGGCTTTGAGGACAGAGCGATAACATTGCAGCATTTCAGGCATCAGACAAGGATCCAGAAGATGGCACCAGTGCTTGAGCCTGCCGAGACGCCTAGGTGGAAGGTGCGGGATCTCCGGAGGGAGCACTCATGATCTTGCTCCAATCAATGAGGGCACTTTGAAGCTCTAAATTCTCAACCACCATTATTTCAACTAGTCTTGTTAACCAAGGGCTCTGCAACACATTGCCTTTCTCGCAGGGTTTATAGCAGTATTTTTGTTGTGTTTTGTAAGAACAGCTATTTTTAATATTGCACTGTATATGTATTTTATTTAGTTGCTTATTTTTAAAGATGGCAGATTAAGATTTATATATTTAGCAGTGCCAGTTAGCTTTGTACACAATTTCCTCTTTTGTGACTGAAACACTTCTCACCTGTACATCTGTTGTTGTAAATACGGATTTGAATGTAAACACTTTAAACTTAAAGTAATGTTTTCTCAACAAACTAAAATGCAAATATATGTTTTCAGCATAAATAAATCTCTCTTGTGACCTATAAATCAGTTGTCTTTAAAATGACGCCCACTCCCTTTCTTTTGCCTGCAGTAAAAAGTTTAAAGCATGTCTAGCATGAACTCTTCTTTTTTGGTCTGTTAAGTTGGCCATACATGGATTGAAATTCAGTCAGTTCAGCAGAGGCCAGGTGAATTTCAATCCATGTATAGAAGGGGTGCTCAACCTGTGGCCCTTGGAGACCTCTGATATGGTTCTTGACCTCAAACCAGGGAAGTGCACTTCTATTGCATCCTACAGATTTGGTGCACTTTCTGAAAGCACCCCAAAACTCCTGAATGCAGGAGTCTAAGGCAAAGCACAGCTAACCTGCAGGAAAGCTGCTGGAGCACTGTGCTTAAGCCACGATGGCGGTGACCCACAACCCATTAGTGTAAAAGCAGACTTATAGGAGGCTTAGGACAGTAAGAGCTCATGTGCATCTGCGGTTGGGGGGGGTAAAAAGCCATAGTTGAAGCATGTTTTTCCCACATCCCCCTCAACCACAGGTATAGCGTCAGGGGTTGCAATGGTGACCCCCCGCCCCATGCTCCAGGGGGCCCGTGCAGCCTCCCTGTCATTCTGTTTTACACTTGGACAGGAGGGGTGGTGGGGATGGCATATACAGGAACTGATCCTCTCCATTTTCCTTCTGCAACTGCAGCAAGCTGGCTTCTCCTGCTCTCCATTCTGCCGGCATTTAGCGTCTGCAGGAGTAAAATGTTTATATTTATTCAGAATAAGAATGTTTATCATAAGTTCAGAAAAAGTGTATTTTAATCAAGGGTGGTCTGGTTTTATTATTCTGGCCTGCGACCAGTTACCGGGAGATGAGTGGTCCCCCCCCCCCCCCCCCCCCCCACTTAAGTATCCACTCTTCAAAAGGTCCTTACCCCGAACCCCACCCCCCCCCCCCCCCCCCCCCCCCCCCCCCCCCCCCCCCCCCCCCCCAACCCCCACCCCCCCCCCCGGTAGCCCCCCCCCCCCCCCCCCCTCCCCGATAGGCGGTCACGTGGTTTTTTCTCCCCCTCTGCTACCGCCCCCCCCCAACTGATAGGTCCCCCCCTTCAGTTTTGATGTACAGGGTGTTGTACCAAGTTAGTCTATCAATTTGACTTGTGTGCAACTAGCCTGTTGACAGTTCTCCCCCAAAACATTCAGTGCTGCCAGCTATAGCTAGTAACGCTGATCATTCTATTCTAAGGCAGGGAAGGCTCTGTCTGTCAGAATACAATACCATAGTGGTTTCACCCGACCATGTAAAATGGAGAGGAATGCTCCCCCCCACCCCCCCCCCCCCCCCCCCCCCCCCCCCCTTCTTCTTTTTTTTTTTTTTTTTTTTTTTTTTTTTTTGTGTGTCAAACTCATTGAACCAGCATTACCTATACAGTTGGAAGTTTTTGTTAGATCTGTTTTGAAAACTGCAAAGAATACCTGTTGGTCTTGTCAAATCTTGTGACCTAAAAATGTTCTATGCATTCTGCCTGTGCTACTGTTACCAGTTACATCACATCTAAGCTGCAATATATTACATTTTTGTTGTTCGGGTTTAGCTACACTTTAGACCTCATGCATTTTAGTGTAACAAACAGAGCGTTATGGTCCATAAAGCAAACGTTTTTGAATGATCTAAATGTAAACAATGGACTTCTATGTACATTTTGTCCACTTTATGTTCAGGACTGTTTACACTAGTAATTTCCGAAAGTGTCTTCCAGGACAGCCACAGGAGAGATGGTTGGCTCTGCCCTCTACAAGAAGCACAATTCCACAAACCGTTAAGAGGCCCCTTCCAGCTCCTCTTCCTCAGTTGTTATTGTGTTTCCTGACCCTTCAAGAAGACACGTACCTTTTTGTGTTCTAGCTGAGGGGGTGGGCAACCTTTTTGAGCATGGTGTGCCAAAAAATGTTTTCGAAGAAATTGAGAGTGCCAGTTATATTAGTCCACTTTGCACACTCAATCATGAAAAGAATTTTTTGTACAGTAAATTCTGTAAATTAATTGAATAAGAGTAAGAAATCATTTGAGCTTTCAGCGATGACCTAAGATCAGCCCCTAATTTCTGCACCTCTAAGCCTCAGATCAGCAACCAATTTGTGCATGTTCATCCCTCAGATCACCCTAGTCCCTGCAACTTTACACCTCATATCCCCAATTCCTGCACCTTCAGACCTCAGATCAGTCCCAATATCTGCACTTTCACACCTCAGGTTACCCTAATTCGTGCACCTCCGGACCTCAGTTCACCCCCAATTCCTGCTTTTTACAACCCAGATCAGCCCCAATTCCTGTTCCTTCAGGCCTCAGATTAGTCTCAATTCCAGCATTTTCACACCCCTGATCAGATGTAAATACCTGCATCTTTACACCTCTGATCATCTCCAATTCCTGCACTCAGATCAGCCCCAATCCTTGCATATCCAGGCCCCAGATCAGACCCAATTTCTGCAACCTCACACCCCATTCTCCAGCACCAATTCCTGTGCCTTTTAGGCCTTGGATCAGCCCCAATTCCTGCACCTTCACTCAGATCAGCCTCAATCCCTGCACCTCCAGGCCCCAGATCAGCCCATTTCTGCACCTTCACACCCCATTTTCCTGCGCCTTCAGGCCTCAGATAAGCCCCAAATCTTGAACCCCCAGAACTCTAATCACAGTTCCTGCACCTTCACACCTCAGATCACCCCAATTCCTGCACCTCCAAGCCTTAGATCAGCCCCAATTCCTGCACCTCTAAGCCTCAGATCAGTCCTAATTCCTGCACCTTCACACCTCAGATCAGTCCCAAGTTTTGCACCTCCAAACCTGAGTTCACCCCAATTCCTGCATTTTTACAACCCAGATCAGCCCAATTCCTTTTCCTTCAGGCCTCAGATCAGTCCCTATTCCTCCCCCTTTCACCTCTAAGCATCCCCAATTCCTACACCTTTACAGCTCATATCACCCCAATTACTGCACCTTCACACCTCAGGTCACCCCAAATCCTGCACTTTCACACCTGATCACCTAATAATACACTATCGTACCTCAGCCCACCCCAATTCCTACATTTGTTACTCATGAAAGATTGCTGTGGAAGGGGTTAATAGCCATTTGAAGATCACCTCCAAGCTGAGCAAGGCGCATGGTTGCTGAGGAAAAGAAATGTTACGAGGGAGGGCAGGTACACCGATAGCAAAAGCCTAGCCATGAGCTGGCTCAAGCAAAAAGTGTTGTAACAGAGGAAAAGTACTGAATATAATTACCCTTTCAAAGTAAGAACAAGCAGCCTGGGGAATCTGACTCGACGCAGCTTCAGTACAGAGAGAGCAACGCAGGAACCGACACCAGTGGGAATAGAGGTGGGCAGGCATGAGCTGCACTGCTTCTTTTGTATGCAGCTGCTGACCAACTTTGTTTGGGAAGTGGGTCTCCCAGGACTCCCCTTGGGTGCCATCCTTGATTCTGTCGCACTGGTGCCGGGGGTTGCCTACCTTTGTCGTAGCCTCTCTCAGAGGAGCTTTGTTGTTGCAGACGTGCCAGGTATTTGTACTGGACTCTATTCTTTTATAGATGCCTGGGACCAGGGAGCTGCACATGTTTCTGTGCACACAGGACCTCCTGCCATGGAGAGGTCTCTGGACACCAAAGCAACTGTGTAAGAGGTACGGCGATGCTGGGGGGTTAAAGATGTAATTTTTATGGACTTTACTGGTTTCCCTAGGCTAATTCAACAGGGCATCCTCACAGTGCTAAGAAAAGGTGCAGAAAATGCAGTTCCAAGCTCTGACTTTTGTACTGAAAATGTATGTGAAAAATTTATTTTGCTAGTGGGGGCATTCAGAGTCCCCTTTTTTTGCTGGAGCTTTTGAGTTCTATGTGGGAGGAGATGATCAAAGCCTTTCACTTATTTAAGACTGCTATCTCAAACCTGAGGCTTTCCACATCGCAGTCTGTTCCTCACCTGATTGAATTCCGTCTCCTTATTAAGCCAGCGTTGGACACCCAGAATATTGGGTCCCAGGCAGTTGGGAGGAAGTGAGTTTAGAGGATGAGGAAGGAGAGGCAAATGAGGGTACTGCTAACAGGTTCCTTTTTCCTGTTGAAGAAACTAATGAATTGCCTAAATCTATTTATACATCAGAACAGATAGAGGATTTGTAGCCAGCACAGTAAACCAGCCCAGGATGTTATGTAAAAGCAGCTTTAGGAAAAGAGAGAACTTTCTCATCAATGAGTCTTTAAGAGACATGATTCTGAAAGAGTGGAAGGAAGCAAAAGCAGGAAAGGAAGATATTTTTGTGTAAAACTCATAAGCATAGGTTCCCCTTCCGTTCTAAAGAAGCATTATTTTTCAAATATCCAAGATTAGATGGCCCCGTATCTCAAGTCTCCAAGGATGTTGACCTCTCTTTGGAGGATTCATGTCTAATCATTGACCAAATGGATAGAAAAGCAGAA